TGAATTTCATTTTGTTCGATAGTGCCCGGTGTTCAAATCTGTCAAGATCCTTCCATATCTTAAGCCTATCTTCTGGAGTGTTGGCTATTCCTGCCAGCATGGTGTTGTCTGCAAATTTGATGAGTTCCCCAAGTATCCAAATCATTGATAAAGATATTGAAGAGTACTGGTACCCCACTGCATACTTCCCTCCATGTAGATGCAGTTCCATTGAGTCACGCTGAGTACAGTTGGTCAGCCAGCTACGAATCCATCTGGTGGTGATGCTGTCTAACCCAGCTTTTTCCATCTTATCAAGTAGTAGGTTGAGATCTTCTTTATCAAATGCCTTACTAAAGTCTAAGTAAATTATATCCACAGCATTCCTCTGGTCCACTAATTTTGTCATTTTGTCAACGAATGCAGTAAGATTTGTGTGGCATGATCTGTTTTTGACAAAACCATGTTGGCTTTTTTATGATTTTGCTTGCCTCTAGGTGTTCACTGATTCATTGCTTGATTATCTTTTCCAGAATCTTCCCAGGTATTGAGGTCAGGCTGATAGTAGTTTCCTGGATCTATTTTTCCCCCCTTTTTGATGGGAACTACATCAGCTCTTTTCCAGTCCAGTATAGTTCAGTGATTCTGAGATCATATCTCAGTTCCTTCAGAACCTTGGGGTGTAATCTATCTGGTACTGGTGATTTGAACTTGTCTAGGGTAGACAGGTGCTCACTTACCATCTTCTTGCCTATTTTAACCTGTATTCCTAATCTGTTTTTCACGGTACTGTTTTTGATAGGTTGGACTGTTTTTTCCTTTTGTGTAAAGATGGATGCAAAAAACTAATTAAGCAGTTCTGCTTTCTCCTTCTTGCTTGTCACATTTTTGCCACTTTCTCCCATTAATAGACCAACTGTTTCCTTGACTTTTTTCTTGTTTTTTACATGTTGAAATAACCTTTTTTTGGTTATTTTTGACTTTTGTCGCAAGCCTTATTTCATTTTGAGTCTTAGCTTTCTTTACTTCATCTTTGCAGGCTCAGGCTATTTGCTGATATTCTACTACCTCAATTATGTTCCCCTCTTTCCACTTTTTATATTTGTCCTTTTTGTCTTTCATTTTATCAAAGAGTTCTTTATGCAGCCATGCTGGTTCCTTTTGAGGGCTGTTGTTTTTCTTCTTCATTGGTATTCTGCTAGACTGGGTTTTATAATCTCACTTTTCAAAGTTTCCCAAGCTTATTGGGGTGTTTTTCCCTTGAGGATTCTCATCTATGGAATCCTTCCCAAGCTCTAAGTTTATTGAAATTAGCTCTCTTAAAGTCCAAAACTCTAGTTTGACTTTGTTCTATTGCTTGTGCTTGCATCATGTTGAATTCCAATATTGCATAATCAATCCCCTCCAAGGTTCCTGTAGCTTCAACACCTTTTATCATTTCATCTCTTTTAGTGAGAATTGTCCAATATGGCTGATCCCCTAGTTCCCTTCTCTACTGAACAGTTAAGTAGTAAAATATAGGTGGAAATATGGTCATCACATTACCCTTAAGCATGCAATCTAAGTATAGCAACAATGTTGGGGAGCATTATGGGTTTTCACCACAAGCTTCGTTCTTTATATTCATGTGCATTTAGCTGCTTTTAGAAACCCATATATGGTTATTGAAAAGAACTGAAAAACAGCTGAATGAAAAAGAGATTTTATCTGTATGTTAGGAATCCTAAGAAGGCAAAGTTCCAGAATAAATGCAGGCTTCTAATCATGTTTGGCTGCAGATACAAATCATTACAAACAGTCACAGCCAGTTATTTTCACCCTACTCTTGAGTAGAGAAGTACCTACCTAATGCATATTAAGTACTACCTTCTGTTCTTGATTTGGGAGTTGGAACTTAATAGAAAGTATTTTTTCATTCTAAAAAAATCCACGCTAAACAAAGGCTATTACAATTTTATCTTATTTTATTGAAGGTCAGGAAAAAGAAATCCTAGCTTGCTAGGCAACTGAGGATATCGTTTTCCATTACAAGCCACCAAATAATTTGTTTCTGTTTGTGGAGCCCTTGATGCTCTCTGACAACCAACCTCAGAGAGCATTGCAGGACTCCACAGTTCGACCCTGAGCTACATATATTGGATCTTTTCTGTTTGCGAATGTCGCTTGGACCCAGCCTAAGAGCTGAGGAAATGAAGGCAGGGTCTGACTTGTAAATAATTTCCCATTACCAAAATGTTTCTACATGCTGCTAGTTGCAATGAAGGTAACAGCATTGTAGCTATTTCCCTTGATTTCTCTATACTGAGAGAACCTGTAATTATAAGGAATTGGGTATAAAGTATATTCCCCAAACAATCCATCCTATGATCTCATCTTCCTTTTCCCAGAGCAAAATCTCAAATCCTCTAAAGGTTACTCGTACAGCTTACTACTAAGTCGAGCAACTCTAAGGCCATTGTATAGCCTATCCTTACTTTGCAGGAACAGCGCAGTGAAGATTACAAACTTTTGCCAAGATATATCAACTGAGAAGCTAGACAAAGAAAGAATCTAATGCTCTCCAGAGGTTTTTAGTTACGCTCCCATACATCTCAAGTACATGGTCAATATTCCCTGTTTTCTTGGGTGACTATTTTGCTATATTCCTTACTGTT